AAATAAGTAGATAAGTAGTATATGTATTAAAATAATTAATTCAAATGTAATAATAAATTTTGATTTGAAACTTATTGCGAATTGACTTTTTGACAATCTAATGATTTAAATTGTTTCCATATATTATATTTTACGCATTTCGAAAAAATTGTGTAATATAGAAAATGTTATTTTAAATAGATTTATATGGTCTTTTTAATATAGTTTTTTTTTATATGGTCTTTTCAATATAATTTTTTTTAATAAAGAGAGTATCTAGGTCATTCTGAAAATTTATTTCTTTTCTTTATTTACACGCATATAAATAGCATGAAGCTTAATGAATTACAGTTGCAAAAGAATTAAATGGAACGTCGTTTTATAGAAAGACTATCATAGAACGAATAATGCCTTTAGCTTCTAGCAAAGATGGTAATCGAAGTTTATCTTTCCAAAGCGATCTGTATTAATTCAAATCTTGCCTTGTTTTATGAAACGTCCGCAGATGTTTGCAAGATTGTTGCGGACAGCTTAACGTCGAGAGTGTGGCAATTTCGGAGCAGACCTTACAAAAGAGCAGTGCGTTCGCATGTCTCGCATCGTCATCGTAGCGTTAGAAAGCGTCAGTGGATGGTTCCTGACGCAGACGCAATTAAGTTTCGTTCGCAAGGTGCAATGCATGTGCACAGATATCGCATCGGTTATACCCACGATCGCGAAGCAATTACAACCATGGTACTCGTTACACGCTCGACAAACGGGCATGGGGCTTCCTCTGCGTGCTACCTAGTTATTTCTCGTTTCTCCTCCTCTCTGCTTTCGACCAACGCAGTTCTCTCGCGCGAACGCGAAACTCGCAGCGCGTGTCGAAACTTCCGACGATACTTCCGACGAGATAAGACGTCGCGCTACAAATGGGAATTACGTGTATTGTATATCGACGTAGCCGCCATATAAATGGAAATGACCTGTTTCTTCGGCACAAGAGACTTCATTCCATAGGCGATAAATTAGAGAAAAAACTTAGAAAAAACTGCCTTTTTTGTTAGAAATTAAAATCGAGATAAAGATTAAATAAAAATCTTATAATTCTTATAAATTAAAAATCTTATAAATTCAATATAATTATGTCAAGAATTGTTTTCATTAATGTAGTGATGATTTTCATAATATTTTGTTTATGGAATGTACAAGATTATAAATAAAAAACTGAACGCAATTTCTTATCATCTTTCACATTATTATTTAATATACTTTAAATTTAAAAAACTTTCTGAATTTACATGTGAAATCTGTGGATTAAAAAAACATTATTTCAGACAATATGTGAAATAAAAAGAAATATTTTATGCAAAATGCAAAATCGATATATCGCTTTGTATAAAAAGCCTAGGCGTTTATAATCAATTATTTATTGCTTTATTAGTGGCGATGCTCCGTCGAATAACATCGTGTCGCGAATTCCCTCAAGAATGATAGAGAGAAAGTAAGAGAAAAAAAGAGAATAATATCGAGGAAATGGCACGATCAAAGCTAACCGCAAATAACGCAGAAGCCAAAGTAATGATGGGTTACTGACAAACGATACCACAGCGGCAATTATACCAGCGGGCACTGCCGGTCCGATATCCGCCAGTGGCATGCCTACGAAACCATTGTGACACGGCTGTCCATCGATATTAATTGATAAAACGAATTTCAAATTACTCCCGCGGCATGCGATGATATTTTACAACTCGCGAAAATCTAGTTCAACGAAGATGACAGCGGACAGATCGCTATCGTCCATTTCACATGAAATAAAATGGTTTTGTCACTCAGTTTTGGTTAAAATCTACATATATGTGTATGTATGTAGAAAGAGAAAGCGTAAATTTATTTAGAGCATTCTGAGACAATATTTCCTCAAGTGCACTAAATAAAGAAAAAATATTATTTAAATGTATATGCAGTGAAAATCATTTTATACATGTGATTGTATACAATACATGTATGTGAATATATATATGTACATGTATTTTTATATTGTACGTAAAAAATACACAAATATGTAAAATACACAAATATGAGTAAATAAGTTTGCGTTTGTGGATAATTAATTGTAGTATATAAACAGATATGATATAATTTATAATTGAGTACACGTAAAATGTAAACAAAATAAGAAATATTGGAGTAATACACGAAATAGAGTTTGCATGCAAAGTGACCAAATAGGCAAGTAATTAATTTAAATCAATAACATTTATCCCTCTCAACAGCATCGCACGTTTATTCTCATCTAGTTAAGACTATAATATTAATTAAAATTATAACGAATTAATTTAGATTTAAATTATGTTTCCCTTCAGAGCAGAAGTCTCTCTTTATTTGAACATTCCTATAACGTTTTCATATATATGTTATATACATTATATCTTCAAGTTAAACAAGAAGTTATTATAAATATTCACGATAATAACAATAAAAAAGACAAGAATATGCGCATGTTAAAAGCTAACAAATATAAAACTGGTCATTAATTTAATATATTTCCAACTATTATAATTTTTTAAATAGTATACTTTCACTACACTTTTATTGACGATGCATAATGCATACCAAACCGGAATTCAAGGAAGAGTTGAAGTTAATTTTCAGTTGCGTGAAGGCCAAACTTATCGAAGTGAAAGAACGATCGTTCATTAAGACGACGAGACTGCAAAATCCGTTTCCGGGCAGTGTACCGAGCAATTTACTCCTTTCCTTCCACTCCCTCTCCCCACGTTTAAATCGCGACGCATTCACACGTTATTGTGTACCCGATAATGCTAACTATTGTAGATTGTCGCGGATTTACGTACGCTGTATCTAAGCAAATTGACAGACAAACATTCAGTAAGACCATCGACAAATCGGCCGATTCAATTGCGATACACGTACGAAGGAAGACGAAATTCTAAAAAACCGATAATCGAATGTCTTTAAGACGATTCCTCTTCAAAATGATTGCTACATAATTTATTTGGCATGATTTAATGGATGGAACGGAATAGTTTAACATTTAAAATTTTTATTATTATATTTTATTATTAATAATAGAAAGAGAAAGAGAGAGAAAAGTTACATAAATTTATTTTTTTTCAAAATATAATATGTTAAAAAGAAGCTTGTATTATTTTACTACATCATTTTAAACCATAAAAAATATTAAAAACTCAAGTATGTTAAATATTTAAGAATGTTATATATTTAAACATACAAGGTGTGTAGAGATAAGAGAATTTAATGACTTTGAGGGAAAATTTATACAAACAATTTCCGAGAATTTAGAAATCTAAAAATAGTAAAATAAAAGAAGTAAATTATTTGGAAATTGAATTACAACAGAGTATGTCTTATAGTTACAGTATTAGTCAATTGAACGGGATTTAATTAAGGGAAGGTCGTGTTTGAGGGTTACGAACGTTTACTCTGAAAATGATTGATCTAGTCAGCTCCAATTGCAAACTAAGGATTGAAACTGAGACCGCAGACTGTAACAACTAAGGTCACATAGAATGAGGTTTACGTGTCAAAGGGCGATACTGTTGTATAAAGGAACAACGATATTTCTCGTAACCTCAGATCAATAAGACTGCGCGCGTATCATATCTTCACGATGATAATATATTGCATTGCAAAGTTCAATTGTGAACAAAAATAATCAGCGGAAATTCAATTGGAATAGAATTCTAAATATTCAAATTGTATAAAAATGCGAAATAACTGACGAGCATTCAACGTGTATTCAACATCATAAAATTCTTACGATTAAACAAATATTCGGAAATAACGAAACTGGTGATATTTGCATCTCGAAAATATCCCGATAGCAAAATAAATTTTTAGGACTTAAAAATATTATTGTGTGCTCTCTTCATCTCTTTTCTTTTGTCTCTTTATCAATTCAATATTATAAACTTTAAGTAAAATGTTAATTATAATTTAAAATCAACAACAAGATTAATATTAAAATTTAGAAAGAAGAAATATTCCAATAATTAATTCATAACGTTATAATCGAAAGAAAGCAAGTTACGTTGTGCTTCTATATTGTATACATAAGAAAATTTAATTGTTGTTCAATTATATTATTTTGCATAGATATAACTTATTATTTCGCTAGTAACTATCTATTCATTGATGGATGTATCAATCTTGGTTTGTTCCTTTCTAATTATATTCATCCTGCGTGCTTTCTTGCGAAGACATTTACATTTATGCGAAAACCGACATAATACGGTACTATTAGCCACATAGGCGAGTATCTGCGCATTCCTGCGGTACCAACGACGTAACCGGATTATGTGGCATGCATAGGTGAATTAGCAGGCAAATGTTCGGTAAATTCGTTTGTTAGCCGATCGATATGTCGTGGTATCGGTATCCAGCAAATTTGATTGCTCGAATAGCGATCGAGATACTTGACCGAGTGAGATAGCAATACCACAAATAGCGGTACAGCATCGTAATTTTAACTGAGAAATGCAATTAAATCAAACATATTGAAAATTTCAACATAATTCTATACATTTCATTACAATCAATTTTCCCATAACTTTGATAATTAATTGTTATAATTTTAAAAGTTGCGCTGGGTAAAATTAAAATATTGTGTGCTTGTATTTCTCAATAAATTATTATTAAAAGTACACTATTTAAAATATTCAATTTCAAATATCGTTTAGTTTAAGAAATAAATTTTTATTTATTACAATAATATCTAATAATTTCTATTTGATGAACATAATTGTAAATTAATTCATTTCTCTTAAATAACTTTAACTTTCGAGATAAAGTAAAGCAACACCAATTGCGAGTTTGCCTTCTAACTACAATAAATGGATGTAAAAAATGATCAGGCGCAAAATGTTTTAACGTTAGAACTGTTCAAAGTTACGATGAAGCTCACGTACTACTTGAATGCGTTCTCTTGCTCGTCCGTACATCAAAAGTTCGACCCGAAGGTCTATTAAACTTTATCTCGCTACTTGACTCACCGTTTCGTAAAGTTGGCTGAAGAAATTCCACCGAGGGCCCTTTACTTCCTTTTTTCCACCTTCTTCGTCTTTGACTCAGCGCACAGTGTATGTATCACATGAGACCGCTTCGCACCTGCTTTACACGTCCACACTATCGTAACACTATAACCCTACGTGCGCGACAGAGAATAATCTTGTAAAAACAACAAGGTTGTCGTGAAGGTCAGAATTTCGCGGCCGTGACTTTAATTGGCCGACCAGTTTTATATTATAATTTCGATCTTCGTCGAGAGCGTCGGCTGGTTCACGACAGGTACTATAATACCGGTTTCGTGAAAGTGGATTACGCATGTGGAAGTGAAATTAATACTGCTCGAAAAGCGGAAGGTTTGACATTTAATGCAAGTTACAGGAACAGACTCTGACATGAATTTAAAAAATAATACTCGCTAAAAAACGCATCTTTTTAATATGAGTATTAATATTAGTATATGTATGTGTATGTGTATGTGTTATATATTACCCGATAATTATTCTTTACGCTACTTTCTAATTTTATATGGCACTGTTTCTAAATAAGATACTTTAAAAAGTCAGATTTTGGAAAAATAATATTTTTACATTCAATGTTTTCAACGCGATTTTACATCCTTAAGTTTAGATGTAGATCGCATCAATAAAATTATACTAGGCGCCTTATTAAATTGCCGCATAAAATTTGTTATATGTTATACTGAATGATTGTAATATGCTAATCAAATGTTTGACTCATGTTTTATGCAAAGACATGAAAGAGTAAACCGTTCGATCGAATTTCCAAATCTCGTATATATATATATATATATATATGTGTTACAGTCAATAGCAGATTGCAATCGATAGCTCCTTTAAGCAAAAAGATAGAAACGAAATATTAGAAGAGACAATATTATAAATTTTCATAAATATTTATTTAAACAAAAAGTAAAGCTAAAAAAGTTACAATGTTGACACAACCCTTTAGTCTTTTGAAAATCATCATTGATTAGTAAGATTAACTACGACATTATATCACCATATAAACGATGAAAAAAATACAATAAAATGTATAAAAAAATTTATACAAGATTTATGAAAGATATTATTATATATCATAATTTATTTGCGTCTATTTCTATACGTGAAATGCAAGAAAGCATATTAATAATAAACGGATATACATTGTAAAGTATTGCTGCGGTAATGTGATTATTTATTATGATCTGATAAATTATCAATTTTTCAACTGCAATATTTTTAAAAGTGATACGATTTAATTATCTAACAACAATAATCTATATTTCTATTTAAATGTTAATAATACATTATTATTATATGTATATATAATGCTATTTTATATGATTTAATTATATTAATATTTCAAAATTTGGTATCTTATTAGAAAATATTAATAAGAAATTTCAAACATCTTCAAAATGTTCATACTTTTGTTTTATATTGTCCTATAACAAATTTATAATTTATATCTAATTTAACTTTTTGAGATATTAAATTTATTCTAATTTGCATTTTTATTTCCGCAAATCGAATTTTCCGCAAATTGAATTTGTCATTAAAGAAATTTTCTTCTGTTATCACATCGTTTTAGCGATAATACGCGTAAGTAATCGCTAATTTCCGCGTGCATACAAGCATGGCAACACAGTCCAATATACAGCTATCGATCATCTACAGCCAATCCCTATGTATAACCCGGGTGCAGCCAAACAAATTATTTCCTCCCGATTAGAACTCGACGATCATGGGTAGTAGCATAACACGTAGCGAGCCTAATACAGTCAATAATCGAATTAAATTGCATGCTCACACATGATGCATGGTATCATTATAATTTTGTAATTTTCGTATTCACATTCGCATTTACTTTATTCGCATTTATTTCACGAAGGAAGAATGAATTTCTCGGAGTAATAGTCATTTTTTTGATACGCACAACAGGTATTATACATATCTTTGTTGAGATTATGTATTGAATTTTGCAATCATTTACGTTATACTGCAGAAATATAACAAAGAAATAATAGATATAAATGCGTTTATAATTATAATATGTAATAGACATGTACATATCAATTACATAATTAATTTTAAATTCAAAAAATATTATTAAATAAATGTCATAAGATACAAATTTTGATGCGCCGTATAAACTTTTTAGAAATTTAAATCTTTTGATTATTTTCCCAGTCGTTGAAATATATACGTTCATTTTATTGATACAGATACAAATTAAACACACAGTCATAGATACAGATTAAATGCAGTCATGTTGAGCCGTTAATTTAAGCATTGTGTTACTAGAAGCAATTTGAGATAGCTGTCATCAATTTCAATCCACATGGAATATCGATCGGACTATACTATATCGAAAGCCACGGTTCGAATAAAGCGTACTCGAGAAGTAAGTTTTAGCGTTGCACTAAAATAAAAATGCAGAAAATTTCCGTTCGCCATCTCCTGCTTAAATTGATCGCGACAAGCGCCAAACTCGATTTCGAACGTGCGCCACAATACAACCTCTACGTATTCGATACTATTTACAATTCCAACTCACACGCTCTCGTTCTCACGAGTATCGACCGCGTTACATCCGCTTTAGGGAACGAAAGCAACGGAGAAAAAAAGAAAAAAGGAAATACAAAAGCAAGAAGAACCTGGCACACGGCGATCTGCCAGGCGGCACGCGAACGATCCTCGGATAGACGATCCCCGAAGAGGCTCTCAGCCTGCTGTACCAGATGGAGGTCTACCGAGACACTGGCGACTTCTCTCGCTACCAGGACATTCGCCAAGTTGAGACCAGAGAGAGAAAAAAAGGAAGAGAGAGAAGAGAATGATCTCTCTTCTCTCGCTTGCTCGCGTGCACAACGAATGTGTTCGCTCTCGTTCGCACATTCGTACTTTTCATGATTTTCTCCTATTCCCCCGCCGCGAAGGCTCGTACTCTGAGAGACACGTGGGGAGAGTGAGAGGTCTCCGTGAATGATTTCGCGAGGGCTTGGCCCGAATGGCCGCGTATATGTCACGGTAGCGATCGAATAAGTTGTCTCTTCCCGTGAGAAAAGTATTGCTGACGATAGTTGGTTGGATGGAATTGATGATCAGTTCCGGAGAGGATGGTCTGAGTAATTGGTTCACGTTTCTCTAAATCATGATACATCTGGAAAAGCGAATGGCTTGGATATTTTTAAAAAATTCTGCTTGTGACATACAGACTCTTTAACGTCAATTTGCAGTCACTATATTATATATCAAGATATCACATTTTTAAAAATAACTGCAAAAATAGAAAATTTTAATTTAAAAAGTAATTACATAATTAACTTAATTGTTGAATATTATTCTTTTCTCTGAATTATAATTATTTGCAATTGTTTCCATTAAAAATATATTAATAATTTCGGTAGATTAATTACATTTAAATAATATGTTTGCTATTAAGAAAATATCAGAAACGCGAGTTTAAATATAAATTAACATTCTTTCATCTCATCTTATGCGAAATTTCCGATAAGATATTTCATTATTAAACTTATACTATTATAAAAGGTATAATCATAAATAAGCTTTACCAGTGTTTTCACTTGTACGATACCGCGATGTAAAGGAAAATGGAGTTTTTCGAGGCACCGCCTCCATTCACACGATTGCATTTTATATTTTTACTAAACTTTAGCGGTTGCCAAAAATAAATAGCCTTCAGTTACCATAAAATATCGATATCGATATATAGTATATATACGCTATGGCATATAAACTACTATGTTTCATTGTCGGTTTCTAATTAATTTGAAGTAATCATCTTTTATTCGCTTACTTATTTTAGTCTCTTTAAACATTGATTGAATTTTTTTCAGATGATTTTCATCTTAAAACAATGTTATATTAAGAAATTTTTAGTGATTGTATTATTACAAAACTAAATATTTTCTAAAAAATTTTTGTAAAATTCACAACTGAGAGTTTAATAATTTTCTTTAAACAACTTTTAATATATATATATATATATATATACAGGGTCTACCAAAAGTGTGGAAACCCCTAAATATCTCGGAAAATATACGTTTTACAGAAAAGTGTTTCCAACAAAAGTTGTAGGGTTTAAGAAGATCTATATACTGATTCTATCAGTTTGACCTTGGATGGCGTCGTCAAGGTCAGGTCAAGGTCACATTGACTTTTTTAAATGACACCCCCTACATTTGATTGCATATTCTTATAGCTTAATTCAAGAGCTTTCCAAAACACTATAATAATGTTCATTTTTATTAAGTACTTTGCGAGTTATGAGGGTTGAAATAATTTCTTAATTTTACATAAACCATAAAATATCTAGTAAACCATTCATTTTTCGATTATCTTACCTTCATACTTTTATGTACAAATTAATGAGAGGAATCAATTGGTGTAAAGAAAACACATAGTTGTTTCTAAGAAAAAATATGTAATTTGCAATTAACAATTCCATATTTTTTCTTAAAAACAACTGTATGTTTTCTTTACACCAATTGATTCCTTTCATTATTTTGTACATAAAAGTATGAAGGTAAGATAATCGAAAAATGAATGGTTTACTAGATATTTTATGGTTTATGTAAAATTAAGAAATTATTTCAACCCTCATAACTCGCAAAGTACTTAATAAAAATGAACATTATTATAGTGTTTTGGAAAGCTCTTGAATTAAGCTATAAGAATATGCAATCAAATGTAGGGGGTGTCATTTAAAAAAGTCAATGTGACCTTGACCTGACCTTGACGACGCCATCCAAGGTCAAACTGATAGAATCAGTATATAGATCTTCTTAAACCCTACAACTTTTGTTGGAAACACTTTTCTGTAAAACGTATATTTTCCGAGATATTTAGGGGTTTCCACACTTTTGGTAGACCCTGTATATATATATATATATATAAACGTGTAAAATATATTTATGATAATATTGCAGTCAATCTGATTATAATTTTTCCTTTATTCATATTTTTTTCTGGAAGTGCTGTATGTTGGCCGACTGATGGTTATAACCGTTCATCAGTCTGGCTCTGCACGTGATGTATCGTGACTCAACAAACGACTCGTCGAACTATAAATTAGAAATCTACCATCAAATTATCCATAAGGAAAGAAAAAGTTTGAATACACACGTCCAATCACTTTCTACCCAATTAAAAAAGCTTCCTTCTTCTTACATTAAATTACAAAATGTTATAGATGTTGTACGTATGTTACGAAACTTGTTATGAGATAACGAAATACTCCTTGTTCTTGTCAAATATTGGCTTATTTTTTCTTTATATTAAAATTAATATTTATGAGAAATTAATATTACCAAAGAAATTAATAATCACTATAAAATCTTATTCTACTTATTCTGTTTATAAAAATCTTACTCCAAATTTATTCTAAAACTTCAAATGTTATATTGATCTGGATTAATTCGCACAATCGGAATGTCGACAAAGTATCTTGTTAATAGGCCTTGCAGAACTGAAACTACTCTAACCGTTAGCGCCTCTTTGGGTTAATTGTTGCGGTAGCTTTGTAATTTGTAGTTCCGGTTGTGGTCAGTGATACGTCATGTACCTGGCATGACAAATTGCGGCGTTATTGCTTTAGATACATCGAGATAGATAGCAAGACTATACTCTTTGACAAGGATTATTTGATTGCTTGACAATTATTGATGTTAATTTTTATGTAATATTTACATATATGAATTGTTATTTTTTATGTTATATTTATCTAATATTTATATATATGAAAATTTCTTCAAACTTCTTTTTTTTGTCGAAGTTTTAATTTAAGTTGTAGATTTATATGTTTACGAATGTTTGAAGTTATAATTCAAATGAATTAAATTTTTATACACGGAGATTATATCCCAATCTAGTTTTTAAGATTTTTATTATATTTTACGAAAAAATTCCTTTATTTTTAAAAATTAGTAGTATTACTTTCTTAAGCATATGTTATTTCTTAGGACCTTTTGAATTAATTAATATTATTCAAAATGTTCAATTTATTTCTATAAAAATAATTATAGTATTTATAAAAAAGAATTTTTTTGTTTAAAACATACGTTTTAAAAAAATTTATAAAATGGCAACGATATAAATTTATTGCAAATCCTTCCATACTATTATCACTAAATAAATTGTCACTAAATAAAGAAAAGACTATTAAAATCATCTTTTTACAATCCGTTTAAAATTTCCTTAGATGACCTGTGAACGCGGATTGTGTTGAAACTTTAGTTTTACGAGAGAAATCAAGAACGTAAAGCGGATTCCGTGTTAACACTCTACTTCGCTACTTTAACATCAGTGCATCCGAATAATAAGAAAGCCCTCCTACAGCTTTAGAAATCAATGAGGAGCGTCGACAGACCCGAGAAAACTTTTCGATTGTCTCCATAGAAGCTGCGCCGAATAAATTAAACAAATTGAAAAACTGATTTCAACAAGAATGCTTTGCATTTCGCAAATTACAGACGACGTGAATAATGAAGACAATAATTTCACGACCGCAATATAATCGTTTGCTTTTAGCAATAAGGATTTCCGATAATTGACAGAGATGACAATCGTGCGCAGAGATAGGAAATTGCAGAAAACAGTTATTATAATGCTTATATAATATTAGTAGTAAATTAATTATTATTAGCGGAATTATAGTTGCAAACTTTTATTTGCTCATTGTATAAGTAAAGATTATTTTATTTTGAACGTTATATTTTTACTTAACGAATAATTTGAACTTGTAATTATTATTTTTAGCAAAAGTATATTCAAGATAATATATGTTATTGCAATCTAAATAAATCTGACAAATACTTATTTTATGACTCTTATTAAAATAATTACAATCAGTCGTGATAAAATTTCTAAAAAAAATTTCTCTGTAAAATTGAATTTATTTTTATAAAAAATATTTTATTACGATTTTCTCACTTGTAAAATCTTTAATTATCATATTTCTCCTCCATTAACCTTTTGTATCGTGAAGAGTATATATACGATTACTTTTTTGCTGCAATTCTATTAATAACTATGCGCTCTATATCGTACATAATATGATATAAATACACTTTATTTTTTACTTAACTGCTACAAAACTGTTTTCCAAAATTATTTTTGAAAGAGCATAATTTGTTTTGATTGAAATTGCTCTCTTGTATAATTAATATTTTGAAGTGATATGACATGTCTAAACGAATATATAAACTAATTTCATGCAATAAAATTCTCTAATATATTTTAGAATAAATGTCACCAATTTATACAGCAATGACATATGTCAATACAAACAAATTTTGTGCACTAAATAACAGCAGGTACGGGACGTATTGTAAATTAGGATCAAAATTTCTAGAATATGCGAAATGACTGTGATAACATGTAATCAAATAATAGAGAGGTTAAATATTTAATGGGCAGTAATATTCCGACAATCTGCTAAAATTTTCCCTTGACTGTCCATCTCGTTACATTTTAACTAAATTTGAATAATTATATTAAATATAAAATTATAATCCGGACATTTATCTCGTTTAGTTTGAACAGTTTTCTTTTAATACATTTGAAATTGTTATATTATTATAATATTTTTAGTATGAAAATTTTATTATATTTATTAAATATATATTTAAAATAATATGTATATATGTAATAATTTTTTTGCCGCATTCTTTTTATCGAAAAATCCACACAGTACGCTTCACAAGATACAATTTCCTTATTCAAAA